TTTTAATAAATTTTTCGGATTTTTTTTAAGCTTTATTCTGACCGATTCACCCGATTCCCGATCAGGATCGCCGATTCGCTGATCCGGATCTGTTTTTTGGAAGCCCGATCCGGGTCACCGATCCGTTTTTTAAACTATTGGGTATAACAATATAATATAGTCTAGCAGTATGGTATAGCAATATAATATAGTCTAGCAATATGGTATAGTTTAGTAGCATATATTATATAGAGTGATATATAATGTAGCTGTATAGAGTAAATCTAAACACAGTAGCATATAGAATAATATACTAAAATACTGTATATAGCACAGTGTTGTAGTATAGTGGAAATGAACTTTTGTATAGCAAAATATTACTGTATGGAATTCTGGTACAGTAAGTATAGTAGTTAAGTGCTCTCAAGAGCCCAATTTTTAATTAAATAGACCTCGGTCTTGTACGATTTATCATTCGATCCCGAATAAGTTTAGATCAAGCTCACCTCAATATTGAGATTAAGATCCCGAGATTTCAAGGTGTATGGACTGCAATCTCTATCATAAGGAGCTTCGACTCTGTCTTGGCATGATTTGTTGGTCCTAAACCTGATCCCATATTTGATTCAATCTTGATCCTGGTAACTACGATTTCGCCTTTTTTTTTAGTTTTTTTCTAGACCTAAGCAAGATCCATGGAACTGGCTAAATTGACTTGGACCGATCCATGCCTGGTTTCATAATGAATTCCATGATTTAGAAAAAGAATTAAAACAAGAGATTGTATACAATGAGACCATTTACTTTTTGTACATAGAAATTATAATTACTTACAACCATCATCATGATTCCATCATGGTTCCAGTACATTCTCCACATGCTCCAATTGCGAAGTTTTCTTTCTAGTCCATCAAAGTGCCCAAATAAAAGGACTGAATTGGAGATCCTTAACATCAAGCAAGGAACACTGCAGTGAAAAAACTATGCAACAAAAAGAATGGAAACCCACACCCCCCCCCCCCCAACCCTAGTCACCACGTAGCGGTTTTCATTTCCACTAAGACCACCATACTAACACCTTGAAAAAATAACTCTAGTATTTGAAACAATGGATAGAGGCCCGTCTTTCCCATTGAATTACTCAAAAAAAAAAAAAAAAAATTTGATTGGCAATTCATTGAATAAGAATAATTTAAAACAATTGGTTTAAGGAAAAGTAATTGTTTAAGCCCTTGCCCCGGCTGAAGAAGTGTGCACCCCCTCATTTCTCCATACTTTGGATGATTGAAAACCCAAGAACAAAGGCATCCTATTGAGCCCCAAGATCAACATCCTGAAAATATTTGGATTTGAAGGCCCAAAATGCTCCATACTGAATTCTTTCGACATGTTACATGGACTGTCGATTTCTATGGATCCTAAATCAGTCGGAACTGCATAATTTTTGAGCTCCAAATCCATTTTTTGAGAGTGAACACTTTTTAAGGTATTTTAAGGGACATGGTTACTACACGGGCAGCACGCATAGTAACTTGCACCACCCACCGTTCAACTTTTGTTAGACGGTGGCGATTAAAAGATAGTCTTTTCATTCACCATTGTCCAACAAAGTCTTTCCATCACCACCGTCCAGAGTTGGACGGTGGATGGCACATTTTCCTATGCCGGCAGGCCTGCATATCAACTTTTCTCATTTTTAAGTACGTAACATGCTTGTTTTTTTCCCAAATTCAAACCGTTGCTTTTGCTTTCCGATAAGGCAATTGAGATAGTTTTTTATCACAATAATAATAAAATATGATGATAAATTGATTCTACCAAAATTTTATTGGTGACATTATAAACAGAAAAATTGAATTGATCACAGATAATTGTCACCAGTTTCCAACTTTTTTTTAGGCAGTAGTTTAAGCAAGGTACTCATTGATCTCAATCTGGTCTTAAGCACTAAACCGAGTTACTCCATCAATCCCATGTTTGTATCAATAAACACAGCCATGGTAAAAAAAGCACTTCCAACCGAACTAAAACTTAGTGAACACATAAAATAGCATTGCTAAAAGGGAAGACCCCCACATACAAAAAGAATCAAACTTCATACATCAAATACAAGCCCTAAAAATGGCTGCTGTTTTACACTGCTAAAGTTACAATGGTCACACCAATATTATATTACAAAAACAAACACCAATGAATTTGATGTGGGTCGATTCCAAATCGAAACCCTGACTCTGTAATTACAGGAATGCCCAAGGGCAAACACAAATACTTGAACAAATCTAATGAAGGAAGATTCCAACACTAAGTCAAAAACCCTAATTCTGTAATTACAAATTCACCCTAAGGCAAACACACATACTTGAATAAATATGAATATGGAGGGGACTAGACTGACCTTGTTTCTGAAATTACAGAAACACCCATGGGCCCATGCCCTTTCTGGAAATATGGGAAAGCAATATACTAAATTGAAACCCCAATTCTGAAAATTGCAGATTAGGGTGTGCCCCCTTTGGGCATATGCAAAACAACACACCACCGACAACCACCACCTTCAACCAAAATTACAATGAAAAGGAATATAGGTTGGGCTTTGACAGCAGATACAGGATACAGGGTCCTGCTTTTGGCTCTTAACTGAAGCCAAGACCTGTAAGAAAAGAATAAGAGAGATGGATAGAGAGAGACTCCTACGATAGAGAGCGACTCCTACAAAGGTTCTGATATTCAAGGGATGAGATCGTATGCACAGGCGCTTGACACAATAGTGAAGCAAATAAGCGATGAAATCTTCGAGATAGAGAAGAGAGATGATATTGGGAGAGTCACTCTGACCGCTGCGATAAGAACATGAAACCAGAATTCTCACGTATTAGAGGAGGTGGATCAATATCGGATATATCGATCTGTTCTAATGACTTAGAAATGTCATCAACTGAGAATGGTATGCTGCATAAGAAAAAAAGAGCAATCATCATCATCCAAGCCTTATCCCAATTAATTGGGGTCGGCTAAAAAAAAAAGAGCAATCAAACAAAAAATTTAAGTTTCTTACCTGAACTAAAATTTAGAGAAGTAATATAGGAATATATATAAATTATCAAAAAATAGGGGATAATATATTTTATGGGCAAAATGGTAAATTACCTGGAATCATCATCCAGCAAGAAGGAGCTGCTAACAGCATTGTTATTGTCTTCAGTCATCATAACTCTCATGCTAGAAATGACCTACCAAAACAGAGGCTCTATCAGTCAGTTTCTACTTTTTACCAAAAATAACAGCCCCAGCATGCACAAAATTAAGAGATTAGAGAGATAAAGTAATAACTAAAAAAAGAAATGGAATAAGTTAATTCGAGAAAAAGGGATGAAAAGCATAAAAGGAACAGTGCATAGAACACATATTTTCAATTAAATGTATTATTTTGATTCTGAGGTGACAATATATGCCAAAACTATTTGAGAAGACAGGACACAAAAGAGGTGTGCGTGTTTGAGTTCTTTTTTTTTATTACTTTTTTTTTGGTGGTGGTTGATTGGGGGAGAGAGATACGAGGAGGGATTGGGTAAGGGGGGGGGGGAGGCGGAGGGGAGGCAAGAGAGGCTGGCTGACATATCAATTTATATGGCCGTGTTGCACATTCACCAATAGAAAAGAATGAGGAATCAGAAGAAGAGTGTATACTACTATAATAGCAGTTTATATAGGATATTCATAAAACATACATTAAGTGGTTACGTTTGCAGATTGGAATGGGATTGATACAGGAAGCAATTAAATTCAATAAAACGAGAACAAAAGCCCAAGGATGAAATGTGTAAGGACATGGACACAAGAAAGCTGAAGTCCATGATAATTTTAATCAAGATACAGTACTTTCTTTATCAATGAATACTATCTACAACGGGAGGTATGTTAATCTAAAGGATTGAAACAATGAAACATATACTGGGATTTGCTAAGTGATCCCAACTTAACTTACCTCTGAAGATACACTGTGTGTACCGTATTTGTCATCCCAGTACATTGTACTGATACGGTATATCTGCTGGATGCTAAGCACCTGAAAATTAACCCGAAAGAATAAGTGATGCATGTACCAATAATTGGATCTATTAATTAGCACAAAAGAATAATTGCATGCTTTTTAGATTTTCGCATTGTGAAAGGATCACTCACCGGGCACAGGTCACGAGTAATTTCATTCAAGGTCTTCTTAGGCTTTTGGTGTATTACCTGAAAATGTGGAACAAATAGATCAAAGCTTGTAAATGGTGGGAGTCCATATGGCTAAATAAGAAAAGGAGAAGCATGCTATAATCCCAAGGACTGTAGGAACCAATAGTCCATCGGGGTTATCACCTTCCAATGGAGTCACACTATCCATGTGGGGCATTTCCTGTTATGGTGGGTGCCACTCACTCTTCATCACCACCTATCTTAATGTTACAAGGTGATGATCCTATTGGACTATGGTATTAATTGTCCATGCTATCATAGCACACTTAAGAGAAATAAAATCAACTAAATAGAACATACCAAGAACCCAACTGCCTGCCTGATATGTTTCAGTTCGTCCCAAGCTGAGCCTGCATACTGTATGATTTCCACATTAAGGTGATTTCAAGTATAGTGAAGGGAAACTAGAAGAGAGAAAAACGAAAATAGAGAGACCAACCTCTTCAGTAGCCTCATAGCACCAATGCTCTAGCTCAGCCAACCCTGCTTTCACATATTCTCCATTGCTGAATGAGCAACACTCACGTCTCAAAAGAAGGCTGCCATAGTAAATAAAAAAAGTCAATAAAATATGACCAAAGAATCTTAGGAAGCACATGTACTTTAACAGTTCCAAAGGACTAGATGCATGAGTTACCTATTAAACAATTGAACATTGATAAAAGAGAATATCTGGTTGAACACTTTGCGGACTAAGAATGAGGGGACCTGCAAAGATAGGGATAAGAAGTTGCTGAAGGTAGCTAAGTGCACAAGAACACGATTTAGTTTTAAATAAGTTCTGGCATTCACTTACATAATTGGCTTTCAAAGTTTTCAAGAAATTGTTTAGGCTTTTTACTATGCTCTGCCAATGGGCAATGAGAGCTTTCTGAGCCTCATAATTGGCCTGTGAACGAGTTCCCTTTACCAAACTTGCTCGAGACGTCCTCGGGGCCTACACAATTTTGCCAAATATTGAGAGACTACTATGAGATCCATGTTCCAAAATGAAAGTGTTAAAAGTCAGGAGATATTATAATATTCCTGTGGGCTATGGAAAAACCAGTCCATTAGGACAATCATCCATCAAAACGGACAGTGACAGAGAGAGAGGAACTAAGCACCAGCCCAAACCAGACATAACTCCAATGGTGGATTCCACTCTCTCTTCTCACTATCCATCATTCCAACAGAAGGTGATGACAAAATGCAGTACGGTTTTTTCACAGTAAATTGGATTACAGTATTTTCCAGTAGAAGTTGTATGGTTAAAATGATCCTCACAATCACCTGAATGCACAAACCCAGCAAGGGCGAGATCTCTTTCTTCAAGTTGTCTCGGACCATTCCATATATTTTTTCTAGATAAGCAGTGAGTTGTTGCTTAAACAGCAAAGCAGGATACTTGGCTTCCACTTGCCTCAGGTCATCCATTCCACTGATCATCCGGCCATTAATAAATGAAAAACCAGCACTTTGAGGTGATGCACGAATCCCCTGCACAAGTTATGAAGCCAACAGAGGTGACCCTTACTCGTAAGAGAAGCAACGAAGTGTAAAGAATCTTCCTATAAGCATTGTGCCAAATCTCATTCTTGGGAAATTTTTTGTCATGTAGGTTTAAAGGAGAATCTAAATTTTGGTTTTTTTTTTTAAGGAAATTAGGGGAAGCTATAAAATTAAAAAGGATTTAGAAAATACAACGAATTTGGAAATGATTCAAGTAACCTAAACTTGTGTCATTTTCTGGTTAGTTACTTATTTCAGTCTTATTTCTTGTTATAATGTACGCTTGTACTCTAAACTTCTCTTAAGCACAGATTTATTTTTTCAAAAAAGTTTCACGAAGAAATAGTCAATGGCCAGATAAATTTCACAATATTAAGTAGATATCTTTTTTGAAAAATTATTAATATTTAGTGAGAAATTAGCAAAACAAGAGAATCAATTGCATGCCTCAAAGGTGATTTCAAGGTAATAGGAATTGTGCTAATTACCTGAGATATCCTGCCAAAGAGAGAGGAAGACCTCCGTCTTTGTGGAGTCATACTTGCAGCACCAGTTGCTTTGAGTGTGCGTTGAAGGAGCAACAACAAAGTCGAGGCATTGGATAGCCAATAGGCTAATACGTCATTGCTCTCCTGTGCCTTCAGCAAATACAGTCATCCAAAACAGATGAATATGAAAATAAAAAAACTGAAGTAGATACAAGAATTACTGCCTGGCATAGAATAAAAATCTGAACGATACCTCTATAGCTGAGCCTATATTTTGAATTATACGGTCGAAAACACTTGTCCTTTCAACTTCAAATGACCTCCAGTGTAGAAGACATTTGTATATAATACAAGCGGCAATGGGTTTTCCCCCAGCAAACCCAAGATCTTGAGATATACACTTGATCAACAAATCTTGATTTTCCTAAACCGGTGAGAACACAAATAATAACCCGTACTTGAAATGAGAGAGCTACTCATAAACACACTTATCAATGTCATGGTAGTCATCCAAAAGAGAAACAATGTTTTAGAAGTCAATAAACTGATGTTAAGGGCTCTACCTGCTGCTTCTCATTCAGTGACTTCTGAGGCTTCTCTTCTACTTCGACCTCCCTTTGTACAGGTGTTGCAAGCTGCACATCCTGAAATTTCTTGTCAGGTGACAAAAGCCATCTTATCAACTTGATACCCAAATAAAGCACCTGTAAATGCAACTTAATGAAATTACAGTCTACTTACTGTAATGGCCTTTGTTTCACCGTTTAAGATGTTGCCATTCTCTGGACTCCTCTGTCAAATGAAAAATTTTCAGTATATTAGTCTCAAAGTCAATAATGTAAAGGTAGATTTCTAGGAAGATATTCACATTTAATCACCAGTACCTGAATAATCGTTGTCTTAGGTCGCACAGCCAATGCTTTCGAAGTCGGGGACATGGTTAGGGACTGCTGACGGAGTACTTGATTCTCGGATTCTAGATTCGTAAGCTTCTCTTCAAGCCTGAGTTTGGAAACAATAGCAATGTTAGACAATTGTTCTTTGACATGGTAATACCAGCTATATTTAGGTCAATGAAAAGTAGGGCCTGCCACATCTGTTGATGGATTATTAAATGACACAACAAACAGAAGGTCAGTTGTCAGTGAGAAATAGATAAACGAATTAGCCAAGTGTGCGTGCATGTAGATAAAACGAAAAGATTCCATGGTCCCATAGGCCAATGCTATAGCAATTGGTCCTCCCCAAAATCCATTACTTACTGATAGGGTAGGGCACCAACAAGGCTTCCAAACAACCTCCAAAACACTCTCATTCAACTAAAAATTGTTTAGATCTTCAAAAAACCTTAAAATCAACATTTCTAACAGCCACAAATGAGCAATTTAGAATTGATCATGGGGTAATTTGACGGGAACATTTTTGAGCTCCGAATCATTCTTTTTTTTTAAGAGGAATGGAGTGTTGATTGGAGGAGACCAATTTTGGGTCCTTGTGTCCTCAACCAATCAGAAGTGGTGGATTGTACAGAGGGCCAATTGCTACAGAAATGAGCCATGAGACCGTAGAATATTTTCATATGCATGTGTGTGTGTGATATTGATCTAATCCATATAAGGAATGTAACCTTGCTAAAATCATGTATCCTTTATTTCTATGCAATGTATCTGGGAATTCTATAACTAGAAATTCCAAAACACTTTGTACCTTGTAAGCTGGATATCCTAGAAAAATAAATGAAATATAGCAAGTATAGCACTTAGACATCATCGCATGGATAACAAAAGAAAGCGAATAGCTATCTGGAACATATGAACACCTTTGCAAAGAATCCTGAAGCTTATCCACCTTCCCTTCCGCACCTTCAAGCTTTTTAACCAATTTTCCATTTTCTTCCTGGGCTTCCACAAAATTTCGCTGCGTATCATCTGCTCTCTGCTTTTCCGATTGCAACAAAACCTGCAGAAGTAAAATCAATAGGTATGATATAAAGTTCCATTTACAGTTAAAGCTCTAAACTCTTATGAGGTAATCTCCTTGTCGTCTACTAACCATTTATACAAAGCTTCAAGTTCTAGGATTGCAATATATTTGTCTACACTATCTCTCTATCCTAGCCATAAATCAATAGCTTACCTTTAGGTTTTCCACCTCAGCAGACAAGGCATCAATCTTTTCTGTATCTTGAACAAGAACAGGTGTTTCTTTTATGACAGGCGGTGCTTCTTCTATAGCCTTCCGTGCTGCCTCTCGTTCCTTGACTAACAAGGAATGTGCCTCTTCAACTTGAGCTTGCATTGCATGCAAAGAATCCTGTAACTTAGCAACTTCAAGGGCCTTTGCTTCTTCCAAGTCAGTCTACAGATTGAAATATATGAGGAAGTTAGAATATTATATATAAAAATTTCAGTAAGTTTCTATAGTGCAACAAATTACAAACATCAAGCCAATGTAAAATCATTTGCAGCAAAGGATAAATATGTGAAATCACTGCATCTAGTTTCATCACTGAATAAAGAACAAGAAAAAAAGAAAGAAGAACATCCAAACATTTGTTTAGCATGTCTCAGGCCATTGTAAATACCCTTAGGCGCTTCTCCAGTTGCAAACGCCATGTAAGTTCCTCCACACGTTTCTCGAGCTTGTCTTTTGCTTCTTTAAGTGCCCCGGTTTCCCTTGCAGCCTGGCATTTCAAAGGGTTTACATAAGTCAATAAATTTCATGGCCCATAGAAAAGTTCGTGAGAATTTTCCGATATCTATGAACACGAAGCAGTCCAAGCCAGGATAGCATGCACAGTAAAATATGTAAAGTAAATTAGGCTAACCATTTTGAGCTTTCTAAGCTCTCTTCGTGCAATCCTCTGCCTCCAGGCACATTGATACGTGATGGCAGAATGCTTTAGACTCTTGTAATGAGAATAATCTCTATGACAACGCCATTGAGCCTGTAGGAATATTAAAGAATAAAATATATTTCCTTTTCCAAGTTTTTATAGAGAAATAAACGACAAATCTAAGCAAATTTTAGCTTCCTAAGTTGGTCCAATCCCAGAAAGTGTACTACACATCCTTAGTTTATTTTCTCTGTCCATTGTAAGATAGGTTGGTGGAACCCCTGCCTGATGTAAGATATACTTTCGCATTCTAGAAAGGATAACACGAGCAAGGCAAGGCCTACCTACATTCATATATACCTCATGTATTAAGAGACATACATATTTGACTTTAGATACCTATAGGAATTCCATTAGATTACTTAATAGGATTACCTGAATGATGATTGCAGCTTTGGTTTGCTTTCTAAACCTGAACTCATTGCGAGCGGCCATAGTCCTTAAGCCTGTCTGGATTGCAATAGAAGAAGACCTTAGTCTTGTGTATGACTTCCTGGCGAGATACTTGCGCAAATTCTTCTGGACCTTCACTGCTGCTGCATCCCTTCTCATGTTCTCATACAATTGACGAGCCACTTCCCCTACACGTAATATTGCAGAGAAGTGTAAACTGTAAAGTCAGAAGCAATGTCATACAACCCTCGCATTTCCCAAAATGGAAACTCAACTTTATTGTTGATAAAAGTAAACCCCAAAACACACAGAAAATGGAACCGGAAAGTAATCATTATGGGTAAACCTCTCCAAAAGGATTGCAGTTGAATAGCAGCTTTCCGAAGTGCAATGAACTCCTTGCGAGCAATATGAGTTCTGATTTGGCGTTGAATAGCCCTGGCTGCATTCCCCAACACCACAGCCCTTCGTGTATCCAACTCAGCCATCTGACCAGCTCTCAGGAAAACCTTTGTCTTGCCTATCTACAAACCCAGACCAAAACCCAATATAAGTATTATATAGTTTATCTACATCCAGTGGAAAAATTAGAGTCAATACTTTGAAAGGCCAAAAACTAAAATACCCATAGGGAGGGACCGAGGGAGAGAGAGAGAGAGAGAGAGAGAGAGAGAGAGAGAGAGAAGAACAACAGACTACCT